CCCCCCCCGGAGTATTTCCAGGAGGCAATGGGGAGGGACTTCCAGTGGCAAAGGTCAGGGGTTAGAGGTGGGACATCCAGTCCCAAGATGGAGACCAGGGAGGGGCAACTCAAGGGGCAGGGCTACCTATGCAGCCCTCGAAAACTCACCAAACCTTGTTAAGCAGCCCTCCACGCAAAATAATTGCCCGCCCCTGGTCTAAGAGGTACTTCTGTGTTTTAGGCATCTAAATAACTGATTGTGTTTCCATTTCATTCTAATAAAACAGCTCAAATTCTGCTTAAAAATCTACATTCCTTCATCATTTTAGCCCCTACATATCTAAACTTCACCTACTGCTCATGTTCATACCCAATCCAAGATGGCCACCTAAACATCTCATTTCATTTATACTCTGTTGCCATCCACTTTCACCACAAGAGCATATATATTTGCAAGAGTCCACTGAAACTGTCGTCAGCAAAACCCCATAGCTGGCAACTTCTTGATGGTAATGGTAACCCACTTTTTGCCTAATCACCTAGTTGTTAAGAAATGTGCCCACGGGAGGCTGGTATCACCTTAGTCGGGGGGGCACGGTCCCCCTCAGCAACCAGTCAGTGATCAGGGGGGTCCCCCCATGACCAATCTTGCTAAGAAGCAGCCACAGCACTTCCAGAAGCGGAGGCAGTGCTCCTAGAAGTGGCCGCGATGCTACATCTGGTGCTTCCACTCCTCGGCTGGCACTCACAGGGTGGGCACCAGCACTCCTGCCTGCCCCCGCTGCCCACTGCCTAAGCAGGGAGCGCAGCCAGTCAAGGGGTGCACCAGCACTCTCAGGGGGTGCATGTGCACTCCCATGTACCCACTACACGTCGCCACTGAATGTGCCAATGAGACACCTTGGCCATAAGTCTACCTCACCCTCAGGGGATTTGAACCCAGGTCTTCCACATCCCAGGACAGTCTGCTAGACAAAGACTACACATAGCTGAAACCATTCTCCATCTATCCTGTTGAAGCTGGCAATTAAGAGTGAAAGGGCCCCAAGTAAGCAAGCAAGAGCGCAGCTGACTGTGGCCCTGTGAAGGAACACATGCTTCAATGCTGGTTATGCATTTTGCTGTGAATCAGTGCTGTCCAACTGGTGGCCCACAGGCCATAAGCAGCCCTCAGAAGGTTAATGTACAGCTCCCAGGTTCTCACCCAGTTGCCATTCCCCACACTGCTCCAGCAATAGCTGCTGGAGTCTCCAGGCTCCTCCTTCCCTCATCCAACTGCTGTTTCCTACCTTTGCTCTAGGGGCCAGGGCAATGTGGCACCACAGGGAGCTGATGGTGAGTCCAGGGGAAGGGGAGCA